ACACAACATCCCACCTACAAACGGGTAGATAGGATACTGGACGCCTGCAGATGCACACACATGCTTCTTCTTAAAGACTGAGATTTGTACTGAGCTACACTTGAGAATGTGACTATACAGTACAGCACACAGCCCCGCCCATGATGCTGAATGGGCGGGGCTGTGTGCTGCGCTGTAATTCAGTTTTACACTTGGCGAGACATTTAACATTTACATTTATATTTAACATTTACATTTAGACTTTGTCACATTTAGCTAAATGTGAGAAAACTTGTCACATTCAGCTAAATGCGAGAAAACTAGTGTAAGTGCTATTTTTACATTCGGCGTCCCATACTCCTCTGCCCCCACCATTCCCATGAATCCAAGCGCAAGATGGGCTTCATCATATTTTCTTTTTGGCTGGCTTCATGGTTGATAAGGTTACTGCCTGTCATTTTTTTGTCTGCTTGCGCTGAATCGCCAGCTTTTTGTGGTCCATGTAACAAATTTATCCAGTTACGTTATTATGCCCACTACGTACACTATTGGCCCTCTGTGTGAAAGTTTCCTTATATTGTTGCGCTGCAGTTAACATGCCGACGTTAAACCATTATTGTTGCACTATGGTTCCACTCTTTTCCCCCATTAATAATTTTCTCTGTTCATTGCGCCCCACCTGTCATGTCTTTATCCCCCACTAGGGGGCGCGCCCCACACTTTGAGAACCACGGGTTTAGACAGACCTAGCTAGGTGTACTTGATAAACTAACATGCTGTACTCCGTTTTCTTGTGAACACTCCGTACAGCACAGAGGGTGCACGCAACAGGCTGTCTCAGTGACCATCACACTGGGAATATATTAGCCATGGTATTATATATCTAAATACCACTCTGTTAAATCTTTTACAGTTTTATTGAAACTTATTCATTACATGTACACATACAGTGTAATGCATTTTAATCATGAGGGTTCTTATCTAGACTGTTACCTGCAGTGCATCCCCAATAGAAAAAGCAAAGTGCAATCATTTATATATATTTTTTAACATTGTTTTAACAATTTTTCAGTAAATAAAAGTGCTGAGGAATACACAGCAGAGAACCTCCTCAGGAAAAGTCTGCAGATCTGCATAGTGCTATGTACTGTAGTTGAAACATTTACTGGTGGCTAGCTATATTCCAAGGGTGAAATGGAGGGAGCTAACAAAGGAACACATTTTAGAAGTAGAGTAAGTCGGATATGGCGCCAGGCAGGTGGGTTATCAGCTGTGATCTGATCCACCAGTGAGACTCTGTGGGGTTGTACCGTGTGTAAGGACGCTTGGACACAATGGCGTCAGTGATGTCATCAAGAACAGGAGCCATATCCTTATGTCCGGTGCTGCAGTAAGAGCCCACCAGAGTCATGTGGTGCTCAAAGTGGGCTTTCCCTCCCATACATGCTGGACATGTTCACAATGCGGCCTGCAGTCAGTCAGATAAAAAGTGTCAGAAATGTGTAAAAGATTTGATACTTTTCTGCATCCAATCCTCTATAGATGCCTCTCTGTAAATAGTAAATGAAAAGGTTTAAGCATCACAACCAGCAATAGAATGATGTAAAAGGAAATTAAGGATCTGTGGTGCAGCTTAACTCTCAGACTGTTAATCCCCCAGGTCCGTAGTTTGACTGTCTTCAGAGACATAACAGAACTACATCACTGCTTCTTAATGAGTCACATGTTGCCATCTTATTAAAAGCAGTGCACCTCATTGCTGGTCTGAACGCTATTTAACTTGTGTTAATATGTGATAAAATGATAATGTCTAATATTCAGTTGGACATGTTTTGTTTTTTTTTAACAGTGGTTTACCTTTGGCCCTGCGGATTAATGGAAGAACAGCTTTGGTGACCCTGATCACGCCCCACAGGTTGACCTCTGACACCTGTTTGTAGGTGTCTATGGAGGTAAACTCCACTTCTCCAAATGTTGACATGCCAGCATTATTCACCACAGCCCACAGACCTGGGTCATGAACAGTGAGACAAAGTCACAAAAAATTCCCTGAATGAATGAGCACTGATGTTCTTTTATCTGAGTGAGTGAAGACAGGTGCTAATGCGGTTTTCTTATTTACCTCTTTCAGAGTCCTCAAGGTTGTCTTTAATATATTCCACAGCCTGGTTCACCTGCTCCTCGCTGCATACATCCAGTTGGACTACTTTCATGCGATCTGAATGAAATTCCTCCAGCTCCTTTGCACCCTTTCCACCTTTATCCTGCACAGATGAGAGGTCTTCTCAGTTACCTCAAATCATGTTAACATAAAATGCCATCATAGCTTTTAAAAATATGTTTAAAAGTATGCAGATGATGGGAAACAAACAATACAGCTGAGGAAATACAATACAGCTATGTTCATTTATGAAAGCCTGAAAGAGAAGTAGCAACATGCTTGTCCATTTAGCAACTCTTTTCAGGCAAAACATAATACTTTCCTCACTGTGAACACAAACACGTTAGTGAAGTGCCCTTTTAGTTTGAGTGTCTTAAAATAAGTTGTCTACTAATTAAAACCATGGCCATGACACAAATTGTTGTACTGAAAAAACATCTCTATTTTAAGCCTTGGCTACTAACCCCCCCCGAACTGTTTCTTGATCTAGGTGCTTCCAATAAAAGTTGATTGGATGACCTAAGAGATCTACCTGGGATACAGAGATGCAAAACCTCTGAATTATACTGACGTGCAAGATTATGCAGGGCTTTAAAAACAAATAACTTTGTTGAACAGGGAGACAGTGAAGGGAAGACAACACCAGAGTAACATGCTCATGTTTGAGTAGTCATAAGATGAGCAGCAGCATTTTAAACTAGCTGAAGTCTAGACAACAAAAGCCTGAGAGACCCCAAAATAAGGAAAGCTGCAATAGTCAATTCTTGAACTGATGAAAGCATGAATAGCATTTTCAGAATCAGAGAGAGAGTGTTTCACTTTAACAAGTAGTTTTAACTGGAAAAAACCTAACCACTATGTTTATCTTAGGTTTTAAAGAGTTGTCAGGAATCACTCCAAGGTTTCTTACTGACCCTTAAACATGGGGTCAAGTACATCAAGATCAAGGACATCAGAGCATGTAGAGCCCGAACCATTAAATAAAACCGTGTTTAACTTCATTGTGTTAAAATAAAAAAAGTGAGAGCCAAATTTAATATCACTTCAGCAAGCAGAAAGAGAATGGGCTGCATTGGAATTCTTCCCCTTCACTGGTAGGTAGATTTGAATGTCATTTGCATAGAAATGGAGTGGAAGGAAAGACCATGTTTTCATAATAATGGACCCTAGAGGAAGTAGATACAATAAAAATAAGCAAGGCGGACCAGAATGGAACCTAGAAGACCCCATAAGTAAGAGGAGCAACTGCAGAAAATAACTCAAACTGGCTCCTGAATGTATGTTTAATCCCTACCTTCAGAAGACACCCAGCAAAGACAGTGAAGCCCATCTTGTGCATATGTTTGGCAAGTGCATTGCCAAATCCACTGTCACAGCCTGTGATAAACACAGCTTTCCCCTTCACCTGCAGAGAGGAGCAGAATACACTGAGATTTTGGTCATTGTTCTCAGGAGAGACACAAGTACAGTATATAAAGTGGGATAATGGAAAATGTCTGCAGCAAACGTCAACAGGCAGCCAGCCAAATAATCGAAACAATTTTCACTAGAGCAATATAACGCTAAAACACATGAATAGCCTTATTCAATGTAACAATGTAATGGGTGATTAAGTGGCACATTTAAATGTTACTGTGATATTTGTAACTATTAAATGTCATATGTATAGTACAGGGTTATTCAAAAAGAATCAACCGACTTCATTATGCAATATTTTATTAAGGAAAAGTAATACAAAACTCCAGCCAAGTCACAAGTATTCTACTGACAATCAACTTTTATTTCCTGCCTTACAAGGCCAACACCTGCAGCACGGGCAACATCAATGCGATAAGAGAATTCTTCCAGGCGCATATTAGCATACCACGATCCACTGAGTTGATCGCTGTTGTTGTGGCCACATTGAACACTTGTAAGACAGGAAATAAAAGTTGATTGTGAGTAGAATACTTGTGACTTGGCTGGAGTTTATTACTTTTCCTTAATAAAATATTGCGTAATGAAATCGGTTCATTCTTTTTGAATAACCCTGTATTATATATTTAGTGTTGGAAATAACAGTCCAAGCAAGCAGTAGTGTTACCTCCACCAATCCTCTGGGAATTCGAGGTGTTGCAACAACCAACACAAAAACTAAATACATCACAACTATACACTCAGTCACACTCATCTCTGGTAATCCCAAAACTGCATTCAGTAGAGGAGGCAGCCCAAAACCCAGCACAACTGTCAGAAGAACAGAAAATGAGACCAGAAATGCCACTCTGAGAACGGAACGCGAGGCCATCTTGACCGAATTCTGTTTGCTTTCCTTGTGTACTGATCCAAGTATACTTGACCGTGGAATAAGGAAATAGGGTGGGGTTAGATGCCAGACTCTTACCTTATTCGGAATCGGCAGCAATAAACCTTGGAACTGAAGGGGTGCTACATCACTGGCATGGATATAGGTTACCATTAGTTTACTTAAGCTACAAGGTTTAGGGTTAGTATCAACGGTAATGTGGACATTATAACCAGACCGTCATGCTGTAGAAGGAGCTGAATACAGGTAATTCAAAGGTGTCAAGATAGCTAGAATTGTACAACTATCATGATAATCTTTCCATGGTGGATTTACTCCAGAGATGTTACCTCCTTTATGAACCAGCAACATAGCGTCCCTTCAGTCCAGGGTGCATTGCAGATAGGTTTTAGAGTATAGATGCATGGTCAAAAATAGCTAATTGAATCCATTTTAAATTACATGTACAAGTTAAAGTGCAACATGTGAAGCTGTCTGAATAATTTCTGAATCCACTGTATGACTGTCATAACCTTTATACACACACACACACAAAAACCATTTCAGTGGTATCAGTTTCACCAACTCCTTTTACAGTTTTTAATAATTCCAGGTGAAATACATAGTACAGCTAACAAGAAAAGCTGCAAATCAAGAACACAAGCTGATGCAGTAGGGGGAGCAAGACACCAAGGCACTGAAGATCTATATGTATGGCTCTGTGACCATACTGGCTTTAAGTGCTGTAAACATGTTTTTATATCCAAAGTTAACATTCAGAAGCAGAGGTGTAGCGCTATTTGATGAAGCACTGGACCCATGACATGGATGCATGCATGCATGTGCACAGTTAAGTTGTGGCTTGTTTCAGGGGCCATGTTAACACTTTCTATGCAACTGTCCACACGATCAAATGTTAAACCCATTTTTTCTGGTGCCAGAATAACAATGCGCATTAATAGCCCTCTGTCACAGGGTGAATGTTATAGCCATAGATGGATAATCTTATTACTAGGGTGTTATCAACAGGGGACAGGTTCCACCCAAAATATAAATTTGTCCCCCCCAATATTTTTCATGATCAGTCATCAAATGCATACTAAAGCTACAAGAAATTAGATGCAAAATGTACTGAATGCTCACTGAGCTCCTCCTGCTTCATGTTGGTTTACATGTCAACCAGCAACAGCGAACTCAGTTGTGCGTAGGGCTTGCGACTGGTCAGTATGTGACAGTTTGGCCATCTTGTGCTCCGCTTGTGTCATACAGACCTACCACTGCTCATTCACAGATAAAACAGTCTGTGTATGTCTCAGCACGTTACGTGGTTGAACAAAAATGCTCACAAGTACCAACTGCGCATCTGAGCATGCATTGTTTGAGGGGATGTTGTGAATCAATCACACCATCGTAAATTTTAACGACTTGAAGCATTCCATTTTGCAAAGCTAACTTTAGTGAGGACTGGATCTTCAAATGCTCAATAATGCAACGTTATGAATTTCAGGCAGATTGCGCAAGAAGGCCAATTTTTTTCCCTCTCTTGGGAAGAGAAAGTGGCGGAGTGTAGTTCCAGTGCTTTCCGGCAGCACTACATCTATGCTTAGAAGCCTGCAAATACTACATAGTAAAAAAAAAAAAAAAAAATTGAAAAATGAATGTACATTTCAGTGATTGCAAATCCTAAACAGTAACAGACACAAAAGGCCCAGTTCAGCTCTTGTTGCCATTTCCTTTTTACAAAAAGAGCACCGAGATGAAAATATATTGCAAATCTTCAAATTTCCGGGGTTACCTCATTAAAAAAAAAAAATCAAATCAAATCTTAATTCCCTGTTGAAATTGCATGGTCTTTGAATTATGAAGGGGTAGTGCTACTGGTAGGAGAGACAACTCATTTCAAGTTGTAAGAAAAATGCAATCCATTTCATATTATTGCCATTAAAGACCTTTGTGACATTCTTTTAAACTTCATAATTTCATGCTTTGTTCCTTCTTTACTTGAGAAAAGTATCAAGCTTTCTCTTGATATTGTCAAATGAGTCCATTCCCATGTAGTCCGCCTGACCTTGCTCCCATTTCTCCTTCCGTTCTTGTGAGGACAACTGGGGTTCGGGGGCTTGTTCATGAGAAGAGATGCCCTCACCCTGAGCAAAAATATAAAAAAATAGTGAAACAAAGAAACGAAAAACAGAAAATGACAGTGCGCTTACTGCTTTTTGAAAGCGCTGAACTCGCCATACATAGCCTTTCCAAATTAATGGCCACAGGCAAACGCGCAGAAGCTTCTGATTCTAGAGAACATGACTAGCAACAGCATTACACCTGGTGCCAACAAACTGATTGACTGCCAAGGTATATAAAAAGCCACATCATTTTCTCCATACCTGTACATTCTCAAAAGTGACAGTGTCACTGTACTGGGACTTTATGTGATGAATAGGAAGACAGAAATGAGGTAAATCCTTAAGAATTGGGGTAAAATGAAATAAAACAGGAGTAAATTAGGCTGAAAACAATGACAGCAAAATACATTTACATAAAAACTGTACACTCTGTTTCCCAACATATTCTCTAGCACTGAAATTATCAAACCTTTTCTTTAATTAGAAGAGCTAGTCAACCAGGAAACCTTGGTCAAAGTGTCAATGTTTAACGGTTGTAAGACACTGGCTATATCACATTTTGGAAATCCTATGGAAGCTGGTTGATTTTCTGTGATTGTCCATTGCCTTGTATACTTATCTATAAATTCAACAGTTAGCTCTGAAGTAATCCTATTAATTAATTGAGTTGGCTGTATAAATGCAACCCCATAAATTGATGGTAGTTTGTGGGAAAAAATACAACAAAAAATACATAATTTGATGGTTTTAAACACTTTAATTTCTAAATCTGCCCATTATCAATGTTATCCATTTGTATTAGCCGATACATCAAACTGCTTGCAGTGTAAACCCAGGCTACAGGTCCAACTGTGTGTGTACGAGTGTATTTATTCACCTCCATACAACCAAAGAAAGGCTGGAAAGGCTTGTCTCCTTGTTGCTTCTGCAGCATGGGCATCACAGCACTGGAGTACAGGGTCCACCAGTCCTGGAGGAAGGTGGGGTGTGCGGTGGCCTCGTGCACACTCCCCCTGATCTGTTTGGCTTTGGGGTCATATGTGTAACTCCATGGCTTGGTCTTCCCTAGGAAATGGACCACCTTGGCATTGCTGCCATATCTGAAATAATGATTAAAAAGATTAACACTAGCTTTATAAGATTTTCATTTTTTTGTGAACTGTCTCCTTCAAACTGCAATTGTTACTTAAATGATTTTTATTTTGAAAATGCTATTTGTAACAAACACTGTATAATATGGTTCCATGTAACAGAAAAACACACCTGACTAAACCTAAGTGCCATAGGGATGATGTATTTTAGGCCAAGCTGGAAGTTGGCATCACCCTGGTTCCCTCAACAAAAAGCCAACATGATTTTCTTCCACAGGCCTTTGGATTATTACAGAAAATAAGTTCTGTGATAAACAGCAACTTATGACACTTTCACATTTTGTTCGGCAAGATAATCTTCACAAGTGAACATCACTTTTATGGATTTTTGAAGCCTGAAAATGATTGCCAGACATGAAAAGCTGCCATTAGGCTATAAACAAACTACACCGCCCATGACTTCAGCTTCACCACCACAGCTTCCAACTTGTAATCAGATTTAGCACACTTACTTCTTCTATAAAATCCTTTCCTAGTCATCATGGCTGTCAGAATAGTTTGCAAGTGCACGAGTTTAAAAATAATGCTGTAAAGACGAGCTAGTGAGTAGACAAGTCTGTTTTCAGGATGATGTTTAATATTCCAAACAGCCTCTGAAGTATCATTTAGCCACTTGTTAGGAACCACCATCTTTGAGACACTAAAAAGCATTAAAAGTCACGGGTGGCATATTTACTAAGGTATCTTGTGTCATAGAACAAAACATGAAAGTGTATGGGCCTCGTGTTAACCACTGACCTTAATTCAGGCATCAAAACCAAAAAACCCACCAACTTCAGAGCGAGGGAACCGGAAGTGCAAAATGCTCAGTTCCGGGTTGTAGGACTCACTTGTACGGCACTATAAGATTATGTGTTGCTGACAAAACGTGTACATTGCGTCATGTTTTATTTATCTCCTGTGAAACACTGCATGGCTTAGTATAAATGAAACTTCTATATAGAAGGTCAGTGAAGTTTATATAAAATGTTTTGCAATATTTGAGGCAGTGCCTTACTTTTTGTGGTCTTCGACTGCTTTATGTTAAACCGTGTCTATTAGGACAATCCTCAAAGATATGGACGTGTTCTGGAAAACTACACGTGTACACAGACAAACAAATCTGGCCCTGTGGGGTTTATTTTGTAGTGTTCGCCAGACCTCTAAGCACATGTTTATCACCCATGTCATCCTGATTTGGTTGCCAGGAAATGCCAAACCTAAGCACTTGTTGATGAGGTTTGTTTCTAAGAGGACAGAGTTTCAGACATGGGTGCAACAACCAGTCCTAGAGGAGAACATAAAAGGCCTTTAAATAAACTGCACTATTTTGGGATTTGGTATCAGCTGTTGGAAGCTTAGGGTGGATATCCAACCCAGAGCTGAGGCCAGCTGGGGGACACTTTGGCAGAGCTGCTGGAATCTTATTGCTCATCTCACTTGTAACTTGGTGTCATGTCACGATGTGACTACATGCTCATGTGACAGAGTATTTGGTTACCCCTTGGCTTTGCATCCCATGTGCAAAGAGCTCAGTCTCATGCTCAGCTGTATTATAATACAACTGTCTTGTGGAAGTATATAGTGCAGTAGAAAAACACCAAAATGAAATGTTCAGACACCTCTAGCTACAATGTGAATGTCTGTCAGAAACAAGACCACAGTGGACAGACACTTACTGCTTGAATGCTGGAAGGTAAGTGTAGATGGCTATACTGCTGAGGTTGTAGATGAAGGGGAGGTGTTTCGATATGTCAGCTGTTGCCCAGCTACTGAAGAAGCCATTCAAAATGCCTTGGTCTCCTCCTGCAACAAAGGCAGACAATCAATATAATGCATGATGACTTAGTCATCTGTGGAAAGGGCATAGTGAAGTCTGACAGTATGGATAAACTACTTTTCTCTTCGCCATTTCAGGGACTGCTTGTTGGACTATCAAAAGGTGGTGAAATCTGCAAAATCGAACTCTCTCTCGCCAGTAATCGCTACAAACCTCAGGTTTTGATCACTATCTAATTAATTCAGTCATTAGCCCATGTAAACTTACCTCTCATCCTGAGGCATCTGTTGAGATATGTGAGAGTTTTCTTCATTATTTTACTGACAAAATTGCTAGCATTAGGCAATTCTCCACTACAACTTCTTTTGACCCAGCTGACCTTCCCCCGTCTTCTGCTATTTTTGATCAATTTGAGACTGTTTCTTTGCCTGTGTTATCAGAAGTGGTTTTGCACATGAAAACATAGCACTGTTCTATGGATTTCCTGCCAACAAGACTGTTCAGGGATGTTTGAGTCTATAGGTCCTAGTTTTCTGGCCCTAATTAATTTATGTTTGACTACAGGCTCAGTTCCAGATGCTTTCAAAAAAGCAATTGTCCAGCCACTTCTTAAAAAGCCGAATCTAGATCCTTCAGCGTTTTCCAATTTTAGACCACTGTCTAAATGATCTTTTATGTCTAAAGTTTTAGAGAAGGTTGTTCTTATTCAACTCCAGTCTTTTCTGGCAGATAACGGCATCGAGGAGCAATTTCTGTCTGGGTTTAAACCAAAACACAGTACTGAGTCAGCATTATTAAAAATTAATAGACATTTTGTTGGCCAAGGATGCTGGGGATCTAGTTCTGCTGGTGCTTTTAGACCTCTCTGCTGCCTTCGATACAGTGGATCATGAAATCCTCATATCTCGCTTGGAGCAGTGTGGGAGAATTCGTGGTACTGTTCTTAATTGGTTTAGATCTTACCTCACAAATAGAAGTTTCTCTGTTAATATTGGTAACTGTTCCTCCTCTTCAACTATCCTCTCTGGTGGCGTCCCCCAAGGCTCTGTACTTGGCCCAACTCTCTTTCCCCTGTACATGCTTCCGCTAGGATCAGTTCTAAGGAAATATGGCTTCTCTTTCCATTGCTATGCTGATGACATCCAGATATATTTACCATTAAAAGCAACCGGAGCAATGTCTCTATAGCCACTGTTTGTCTGACAGACCTGAAAGCATGGCTGGCGCGGAACTTTTTAAAGTTAAATGAGGATAAAACGGAGTGTGTTTTATTTGGCGATCTGGTGAAATTTGCTGCTTTTAACCATGACGTAGGACCCCTGGCTCATCATCTGAAGAGGACTGTAAAAAACCTAGGGGTAATGTTTGACGATTCAACAAGCAAATCAACGCTGTCGTACAATCTAGTTTCTTTCACCTGAGGTTGCTAAGTAAAGTCAAGTCATTTCTTTTAATGATTTTGAGATCGCAATGCTTTCATAACCTCTAGACGTGACTATTGTAATGCATTGTACCTTGGTGTTATCAGTCGTCTCTCGCTCGCTTTCAAATGGTCCAAAATGCTGCTGCTCGTCTTTTAACATGTACTAGGAAATTTGACCATATAACCCCGGTACTGGCTTCTCTTCACTGGCTTCCAGTCCGTTTTAGAATTCATTTTAAGCTATTGATTTTTGTTTTTAAGGCTCTTAATGGTTTGGCACCGCCCTACCTCGCCGAGTTGGTGAGGTGGCGCGAACCGGCTAGATTACTCAGATCCTTGAGCCAGTTTCTTTTAGAGGTTCCCAGGGCCAGATACGAACGCTGGTGTTACCGTGCTTTTACTGTTGCAGCTCCTAAATTGTGGAATGGTTTACCTCTTAATGTTAGATCTACAGACTTGACAACTTTTAAACCATTGGTTAAAACATATTTATTCACTGTGGCTTTTAATACATAGTATTGTCTGATGCTTTCTTCTTATAACTGTTGATTTTGTGTAGTTTGTGTTTTTTTTCTCTATTGATATTATTTCTGGTTTTTACATTGCCTTTGTACAGTACTTTGGTCGAACAGACGTTGCTTTTAAAGTGCTATATAAATAAATTTTGATTGATTGGTTTGTTGCTATTGAACATACTGGGCTTAGAGATAATCTGCACAAATCTAATAATTCAGAAAAACTCAGATGTGGTTTCACTACTGTGATAAGCAGTTCTACAGTACAAAATCTGTACCATACTTTGAAAATGTTATATAAAACTAAATGTCCATAAAGTGAGGCATTTTCATATTTTTCCAGTTCAGATTTTTCCTTTCTCAAAACTGTTGGCCTATAACACAAAGCACACATTTGCTTGAATTTAAGTATTTTATCGACTAAATCATATCACTTAAATTCACTTATGCAGAGCATTTTCAAAAATTTAAAAATGTGCTTTTAGGAAGGACAAAGTTCAGATAACTGTGTCAACATAAAGTTGAGAGAGTTGAAGTGTGTCTGTTTCCTGTAATGTATAATGTGTAGTGTATATAACTGGTCCCTCCTATTAAGCTCATCTACATTAGTCAGCAGGTGACTGAGATCAGTCCAGACAAACAGTTGGAGAGCGAGGTTTCCAGCTTTACAAACTGTAATGGCTATTAAAAACTAACTATCAGGCTTGCTGTAAATTTATTTCACTGATGTTGACCTAGTTTGATTGCAAGCTGTTTGCTCACTGACCTTCAATACTCTGTTCATTTCAAATTCAGAATGCCCAGCAACACCACAGGCCTTTTAGGGGAGTGTCATGCCCGTTTATTTAACCATTGAGTTTTATTTGTTCTCTATACCCTAAGTGCATGATTTTATTTACCTTTTGTTGCCAAATGGCTTTAGCAGGATTTTCCTTTTGTAAAGCAACTACCAAAACTACCCAGTCAAGTGAAAGTGGACGGCTGTAAAAAAAAAAAAGTGTAAGTGTGGGAATTTGAACGACTATAGTTTCATTTTGATATTGGTACTGAAACACAAGTAGCAAGTCAACTTTAAATAATACAACTAGACAAGTATTTAAAATGTTTTGTCTGTGTGCTGGAGATGTGAACGGGGGCCTCTGGTTTAACACTCATTTTAAATTTTACTCGAGTTGCTTCCAGTATGATCAGAGGGATGAATTGCCACTCGCTCCATTTGTCTAGTTTAGAACTGGGACAGGCCTTGTCATAGCAGCGTCATATGTACACAGAACTCGGGGCGACAGCTTGCGGCTGCACGGACACGTTTAATGGTTAAGTAGGTCAGTTACACGTCAAGTATACAACCAGATCCACACTGAACCTTTACAAACTTCTTTCAGTTAACGACTCCTCTGTTGCATCATTAAATCTGCAGCCAGAACAAAATTTTGGAGCCAAGCAAAAAGATGACAAGATCTGACTACTCATGCTGAATTACTTCAGCAAAGTCTCTGGACTAGCATGAGATGCTGTTTATAGAACTTTCACACTGGACTGTAGCTCCTAGAAAGTACAGAACTGTACAGTCTCTGAAACCGCAGACTGTGGTTTAAAATAACACACATGGCTACTGTTTGTCCGAACCCACAACCTCCAGTGGGGATTTCAAAACTTAATGTAGGGCTGAGTGTCTTCATTTCATCAAGGGGATAAGCAGAGTTCAACAGAGTCCAACTCTGCCAGTTTGTCTTGGCAGCAGACAACAAAAGCACAGATGCAGAGAATAGAGCCTCCGAGTTCAATAGCAGGAAACAGTTTCTCACTATTTCTCTGCAGTTTTTCCATATTATCTATGATCTACAGAGAGATAGGAAGGGTTACATCATTTATGCCTTAGAGCAGAGCAGAACTGAAATGCTAAAGGTAAAAAAATCTTCAACTCACGCCCCAGTGCACATGAAGAGACTATCACTGGCTATAAATAAGGCTGCTTTACTCATTAGCATGCCATCAGGCATATAGACACTGGTGTCCGATTGGATATACAAGACTAAAAATGATTTTTTTTTCCCCTTAAGGACAAAGAGGAATCTTTATCTGGGACTCTGATTATGTTGGGAGATCTCCCCGATGGAGTCTCTTTCACAATATTACAAGAGGAACACTTGTCATTTAATGCTGGAAAGGTTCACTGCTAAGAACACGGACAAGCCCTGGCTCTTTTGAGCCCTACCAAGGTTGCATCCTGTTGTATTTAAATACACAATGCTTCCTCTGTTTAGTAGTGCCACCCTAAGAAACTTAGTTTGTTTAAAGTCCAACCAGCATTGGCAGTCATTCTAGACTTTGGAAATAGTCGTACTTGGACACAATCTTAGCTTAAAGTCACCTGCTAGCCTTAACTGGAGCTTTTCACCACATCACATGGGCTTCATTGAATGGCATCATCTCAGTTATCATGGTCCTCACATGATCTAACTTCAATCACTGAAAAAATCTAAGTGGAACTTGAGATAAGATTTACTCCTGTATAAGCAACAAGAAATCGGTTTGGAAATACCAAAGACATTTGGGAAATAACTTACCGTAGTAATGTCTGCATTACATAGATTGTCCACTAGAGAGCACTGTCATGTTTATTTTAATATGTTTAGTGCATATTGTATCCTGGTTACAGTTGAAGCAATAAGTTTCTTATAAGCTTCCATTTAAAACATTAATATATTGATATCAAAAAAAATTATACTGATAATATAGTATAAAAACTAATATTGATCAAATCCTAATTTTAATAGCATCACAGAGGTGAAAAGATAAGTTACAAATGCCATGAAAAGTTTACACTCAAGCAGTGATTAAAAATAAATCAGTTTTCTCCTGAGCCTCTGTGTTAGACTGAAAGTTGAAAAAGCAGGACACTGTCAGATGTTCAACATATTTATACACGTACAAGCTGCCAGCTGAATATTAGTTCAACAAGGCACCGTGAACGTTTTTTAAAAGCTGTGTTGAAGCTCAACTGAAGTAAAATAATTGTGTACATTTGAGTGTTTAAAAAGGGTGTGTAAATAGAAAATATTTACTGAAAACCTCTGGGTTTTTTTATGGTAAGAGTTTGGACTTCAGAGGATTTATGTAATGTTTATAAAAGAGCTGCAACTTTTTCAGAAAAGTAATAAAACCTGCAGTATGTATGAGAACCTCACTACTCTACAAGTATGGACCAATACTCTGTTCAGTAAGTGATATGGAGCCTAAACAACAACCACAATTCAGCTACAGAACAGTATGCCTCTCAAATACAAGTTGCTGAATGTCACCAGGGCTAGTTGGGCAAAACAGGGCCTCTCAAATTTAACCCCCACCCCAGTGAGCCCCTGAGAATAACTCAGAGCTAGATGGTCTGTGACAGGAGGGCCTTGTGTCCAGACACCAGGCTCCACAAAGGCCTTACTGAGAGCAAAAGATAAACACACTCACTTTAACATCATTTATAAAAACTTTATAGAACTTAAATCCAGTCAAAGCATAAAGGTTTGTGTGTGACCAGAAGAAGACTAATGATATGAAAATTAAACCAAGTGGTAAACCAGACTTCTTCGCCTATTAATTCTTTCTTGTATGTGTTTGATAATGAATGAGACTATGAAACTAGGTGAGGTGTTAGCTTAGCAGAGCATATAGGGGAAACTGCAGAAAACTGCTAGCCTGACATGTTCAATAGCCCAATATGAAAAGAAAACAAGCACCCCTAAAGCTCATTAAGAAACGTTTTGGCATTTCCCAAAATGTCAAACTATTCTTTTAAACTAGAGACCATTTTTTAGCTAAGTATCAGTTACATAATGGTCCATTCAAGTGAATCTTTAGTTTGTAAAATAAACTATTTGTTGCACATTCTCAACGTTTTGTCTTCCATTTACCTGTTTTATCCAACAAATAATGGTCCATTCAAGTGAATCTTTAGTTTGTAAAATAAACTATTTGTTGCACATTAACGTTTTGTCTTCCAATTACCTGTTTTATCCAACAACCAGTCCAAAAGCCAAACTAATGTAATTTGCAGTGACATAGGAAAACTGCACTTCTCACAATTGTCTTTTGATAAACTAGTTTCAGCACAAAAAAAGTGTATGAGAATATCAAGAAGCACATTCCTTCTCTCTTACCATCAAAGCTGCCGTGCTCGGTACAATACTGAAGCAGTTTGCCGTAAGTCTTCAAAGAGGGACGATAAACAAACACACCAGAGTTGAAGCAGTCGGGCCAGCCAGGGTCAGGAGCAGCTGACAACTCTTCTCTATCAAACAGCTCATCTATATTTGAAAGCACCTGTCATGTAAACACAAACCAGCAGAGACAGATAAACATGTTCACACACCTGGTACAGCATCTAATTAAACAGTGTGATGATGTACCAAACTGACATCTGCAGGGAAGAGTCTCAAATCTTCAGTGGCCATGAGATCAGGATATAAAACTATTTCAAATTGTCTGTGCACACAAAAAAATGTGCTCAAACCATTTTTAAGAAATTAAATATCAGCTTAAAGCACAAGCCTGTGGTGTCAGCTTTCCCTCACCCAAATGACTCCAAAGTGGCCTCATTTGTTAGCACAGATTTTTGCAAGCATAACAAAGTCATTCATGATTAAAGCTGCATCAACTACAAACAAATTCAGCCACTTATGACCTAGTTTCAGAGACAGGGCAAGGTTGGAGAAGAGGGGATACTGCTCGAGTTCGTTTTGACTCTCATGTCGCCTGAAGTCAAAAATCAGAGGGAGAAGTTAATGCAGCTGTAAGCTAAACATGTTTGCTTTACTGGCACATTTAAAAAAAAAAAAAAAAAAAAAAAAAAAAAAAAAAGAGCCACAATTTTGGAATTTTTTAGATGTTAAGGCGATGCTGAGACTTAAAATAAAAATAAAAAAAATCGCAGCAGCACAAACATTTATTTTTCCTGTACAAACACGCCCCCACCTGCAGGCACCACTGATGATTAAAACAAAAGAAAAAAATCCTAGGAGAAACACTGCAGAGTCTTAATTATTGACCCGTGTCTAAGCTTCCATTCTTTTTAAAAGTATTATCAGAAGCTCTGTCCACATAGTGCATCTAACTGTCATGTTTCAGGGCCTGTCACTCCACTGAAACTGCACTTAATCAAGTGGTCAATACAGAACAGTCTCACCATTGTGTCTGCATCCATAAAAACACATTTGGAGTAATGTGTCAGGGTCCAGCAGTGGAGTTTAGTGAGGGTGACACCCAGTTCAGGCCTCTTCATCATGGCCAGGTGTGCTGTGTCACCGCTGTCCAGTGTGTCCACCACCCGCACCTCATCATAGATCCTTCTCAGGACAGACCTAATGATTCACAAAACTATGAAATGGACCTTTCAACAATCCAGCTGGAAAACAATATTTGACAGACGTGCTTAAGGGTGTGATTCACAAATGTTGTGCCACTGGTTGAAGGCTTCTTACAGGTAAGGCTCCGACACTTGTGTGACCAGTATCACCAACTTCTTGGATGTCTTGTGGTTACGCAGGGACATGCCCAAAACCATGGCTCCCCGAGCATAGCTGTCATTGGTCACCAACGTCACAAAAGCCTGGTCTGTAAAAGAGGAAATAAAAAAAAAAAAACAAGATCAAGGGATCATATATTAACATTCATCTGTGATGTTTAAAATGTTTCTAGATTAACAACAAGGTAACAAAGTGTGCCTTTTGTTGTATAAAACCAGATGTGCTTACTACTCCTCTGGCCAAATCATTTACTATAAAGCTGCAATAGGGAAAAGACGTCAGTTAGATCTATGCACATGTCTAATGCAGGGTGCTCTAGCTTAGACTTCATCTCAACTTAGTCTACCACATAGATACTGATCCTGTCTTCTTGTTTATTTTGGATTTCTCTTTTCTTCCGTTCCATTTAAAATCAGCCAGTTTCCTACATTAAACCACCAAATGGGTGTCAGTGCAGAAGTGCGTCAAATAAAGCCAGTAGCACACCAAGTGCCAAGCGGTGAGTTGTGGCTGAGATGCAACACAGTGGGGCTAATCTTATTTGACCACCTCATACCTACAGATATAACTTTGATGTAAGTAGCTGAAAGTTGTTCTGCAGTTTAACTACACTGCAAATATCACAATGTCACATCTCATGTTTTGCAAGACTATGAAATACTGAGTAAACAAAGTTGGCTTAAAACACAATGTAAGAGGAACCAGTTTTGCAATGTAAGGTAACGATATGGGTATAACTGGGTAGATCCTTTGAAACAAATTATTACATCTGGCAATGTAGCGTTCCAATCTACTGTATATACAAGTTAAATGCAAACTATTTGTAATGTATATATTGTGAAACTTGGTTTTTATTTATACCTTATGTTTCTTTGTTTATATTTACTAGATCTATATTTCCTTCTTTTCTTGTCACAATAATATGAAGTAAACAACTGCAATTTCATTGTATTATGTACAATGACAATCAAGTTCTTGTATTTTCAGTCTTGAAACACTCAATCTACATAAGTTCTTGTATTTTCAGTCTTGAAACAATAAAATTTCCAAATGGATCTGTTGAAAATTGGAAGGCTCTGCTTTTCTCTATATTTCACTTCTGGGTCAAAGGTTCATGATCCTTCTCAAATTGTTAATATTAGAGACCTTCTTGTCTGATAAGAGCCACAACTTTCAGTTAGTGGCTTACTCCTTGAGTGTCCTCTTTTTATGTCCTGGTTATCAGTTGCCAATTCCAGATGTTTTGGACCTGGATCTTTGTCCTCCCTGTCTTCATCCAGCTCTCCTTCCGAGTGTTCGTTTTCTCCTACATGTGTGAATAGTGTGCTTGCATTTTGCCTCGCGTTTGTGTAGTCTGTCTTTCTATAGGTGTTCACTGTAGAGAGGATGTTGTGTATAGCTCAGGTCCTGTCTCTTGGCAGCACCTGGCAAGTTGCTCAATATCCTCCCAGATCATAATCTTATGTCAAACTAATTTTAATATGTGCTCTATTCTGTACACACCATTTGTTACATGTCTGTCTTGGTAAAAAACAAAAAAAAAACAAAAAGCCCCATCCTCATTTGCTCTGATTTGATCTGCATTATTTCCAATAGAAGTTGTCAGCAGTGTTTTCCTCTACATGCCAGAGTAGACCACACTGTTAATGAAGCCAACTGGTGGGCAAAAGGTCAGTCATTTACAGTATGGCTGTCACCTGGCAGGGCTGACAGCTACAGTAGTCTACATGCCTTTAAGTTAGTATAATGACCTAGCTACCAAATGGGGACAGTATGGACTTTTGCAGTGTCCCTTAAACTACATTATCTGCTCACTCAAGGAGGTTGCAGCTGTACAAACAGCAGCCTACAACAGATTTAGAGCAACTGCAACAGACGTTTTCACATTATACAAGCCATTTACAGTCGCTCTTATTAAAGTCTGAGAATTAGACTAAAGTATAAAAGAGAAAAAATAAAAATCAGACAGTATCATAGTTTAAAATGTTAAAATGCTAAACTGTTACATACCAGCCATGACTGAAGACGAAGTCGAAGCTACTCCGTAGCCTGGACTCGAGGACGCAACAAGCCTGCGGGGAGAGAAGGACTGACTAAATATACAGAGGTGGATTTATACCACTATGACAGTTGCCGTTTGCCCGGAGGCAGCGCCATGTGACTGTCTCCACACACCCACCTGCTTTAAACTTGAGCCTCCACACCCCCAGCACTTCGGTTCGGGCAGGCCAACTGTTAAGACTACATTTGAGAATAAATTTCCTAAAACTTACGTTGAGACGAAAGTGGCTTTGCATTCCAGTGACTTCATTCCGTATCTTGACGATTCAAACAACTGGCTGGTGTCACCTTAACATATGTACAATGTCGAGACGATGCTGGCGATGTAATAAAGTAGAGACCTGGTACAAAACGCTTCCTAAAGCGGTCGGTATTTTGTCGCCACCTTGTGGAAACAACATGGCAGGACAATGACAAGACAAACGGAGCCGTTTGTGGCTTATGTTACACAACAGTGCATTATTTTTAGTTTTCAGTAGAGCAGGGGTGTCAAACTCAATCACATGTGGCCCTAAATTAAACCACAGTCAAAGATACGGGCCAAACAGGATTAACATTTATTGAACAGTCTAAAACTGAACGATTTAACCTGAAATATGAGTTTGAACAGATTGCCACAACTTTTCCCTCAACAAAATTTGAAAATTCAATTCAAAATGTCTGTGCAGATTCTCAGTCATCAAGGCCGGTTTCGGTTCAATGCAAAATATTTTGCCTCACCAACATCAAGCAAACGTGATTTTTTGGCTGTAGCTTTTTTGAACATTTCCTGCTGCAATTGCAGTCTTAATTCTTTGACAATTAGTTTTTCTTGAAGGCCAAATTTAGCATACTTAGCTCAGTGTTTGGTCTGAAATGCCTACGCATATTATACTACACCACCGACACTGCCTCACGACACAAAAAACACATCGGTTTTCCCTCTTGAAGAAACCCCCAGAAACATCTCTCTGTTCCATTCATTTCATTAAATTGTCTCCCTTCTGTATCAGCCTTCTTCTTTGACGTTTTGGGATTCATTGTTGGCATTTCTCATTTCCACTTACCTGGAAGTTGCTGGTTAAATGAAGGTAAAACACTGCCATCTAGTGGTGGGATGGCAATACTCCGCGGGTCCCGAATTCGACGGGCAATGTGGAAGATGTAGTTTATGGTCAGTGTACGCTTTCAATTAGTCTGGGCTTTTATTTGAACACAACCATACGCATTTTAAGCTTTCGAGGGCCACATAAAATGATCCGGGCCTTGAGTATGGCACATGTGCAGTAGAGCTCTAGAGCTAATTCTCAGATCAGCTGGTGTAGTGATACTTTTGGAGATGTCTAATACTTTGGGGAAGGGGACCAACTGTATCTTACAGTTTAATTTATTCAAAGAGAGCAGGCTCTGAGGAAAAAAACTGAAAACCATTCCCTTGACTACACTGTTTATATGTAACAATGAGCACTAGTCAGCCAAATACCTACAAAATTTTCAAGTCTCTTGCCACATTTTTACTGTTTTTAAAAAGTTCATTACTTTAAGAAATGTGTGCCATTGCAGTTAAATTCCCTGCTGATCTTGTGAAGTCTTAAGGCACAGAAGGACCCAAAATAATCTGGGGAATAGTTCTAGCAGAAAAATACTGAACAAGAACTAAAGGAAAAAATGCAGAGGCTCCACTTGACAGGGAAATGAAACAAAAACACCCAAGCTAAACTAAACAGATTGGTCAGGGAGCAAAGTAAAAAGAACTAAAACCAACCAGAGAAACGAACCAAGGAACTACTGACAGACAAGAATACAAACACAAAATTACAAACCAAACTTAAGGCAGGAACAGATTTGAGACGGATACAAAAACTTGGAGTACGCAAACAGGCAGGGTGTGGTGAATAGAGGTGACAAGCAGAATGCATCAGCAAGAGACTGAGGGAAAGGAGGAGAATATGTACACAAGAGAGCAGAGGATAATGAGGGACAGGTGAACACAATGAATGGTGATTGCAGACCAGAATAAAGCTGGTGCAGGTGAGGTGACACAGGACAGGAAGTCTAACCAAAATAAAAGCAGAAAACAGGAAGCATGACGGCAAACCATAACAGATCTTTGGATGCTTTATTTTCTCCGCCCAGGCAGATGGTTGGTACAGAGCAGACACTGCCAAGGAGTACTCTGTGGTTATCACGTACTGGAGCAGTGCCACCTGAAAAAGAGGGATCCCAGTGGTTCAGAGAGCTTGATACAGTTAATTAGTGGATCCCTTTGTTTCTTGAAGTCAAGTACTTGGACATCAAATTGTTCAGGGCCTACACACCGGATTGAAGTTCATTGTCTCCTGTTTTCTTGGATCATGAAGGATTTTAAAGCCAGTTTAAAATAAATGCAGCAGACATGTTTTCTGGCCTATTAGTGATGGTCAGTTAAGTGTAAGCATTATTTTGTTGTGTACATCACAGTTTTGTTGCCTATATTTTCATGCAAAAAGTGAAGGCTCATTTCACCAGAGACTATAACATCATACACACATAAAATTGATTCAGCATGTGGGGATGGATCATTGATTTTATTGTTTGCACTCATCTAGACACTCTGTCAAGCACAGCCAGGAAACGTGCCGGGTGGTGCCCGTATCCATGGATACGGACTAGAGATGGCTGAGAGGTTGGAGAGGCTAGAGACTGGTACAGAGGATCTGAATTGGCAGGGGTCCTGGCAGTTTCCTCTTTAATAGAGGTTCTTCTGCACGTAGGCGGCGATGTACTTGACAGCCAGCATGGTCTCCTCGCACGTGGGCTTGATCTGAGACTCGGGCAGCAGGAAGCCATAACGACCAGTGTCACGCAACTCGAAGGTGTAGGAATATTTCACTCCCAGGTCGTAGGCCCAGTCATCAGAGCCTCCAGCAGCGAGGTCTGAGGGCAGAAATCGAGTCGGGGGTTTAGTCAGAGTGGGATATGCAGATGACAGTCTGGATGTTTTCATGCTGCTTTTCAGCGCCAAAAATCCCGAGCTGTGGCTACTGATAAGCCATTGCTGTTTCTTACCTCTAGCAGTCATTTGTGCTTTGTGAAACGGTCATATTGCATATTACTACATGTGGAAAATTGACAGTTTCCCTATGGAGAAACATGCAGCTGCACTCTTCACAGTACTTACAGATGGTTGCAGCACCAGGTCCGATGGTGTATCTGGTGCCATGCAGACTATTCAGAGCAACAGAAGCTCCCTCAGCAACCTTCAGCTAAAATTCAGAGAGGAAACAAAGGTCAGTTCTGTTTTGAACCCATTAAAAGATATTAACATTTTGCTTAGGACTTTAAGCCTCAGCCTTTTTAACTTATGACTTTATGTATTTTACTTGCGCAAACTTCCTGTAGTCTCAAAATCACAACAACACCAACAGCTAAACACCAGTGTAGTGAACTGAACTGAGCAATGGTGCATATGGTGAAAAGTAATAGTAGTAAGAATGGCAGTATTAGTACTGAGAATAAGCTTAGCAAATATGTTTTTACTGTGCAGCATCCATTACAGTGCATAAAATGTTTACTGATATTGCAGCATATAATAAAAAGCCTTGGTGAGTTTCAATAAGGAAATGAAGCCCCCAGAGACATTCACAAATAAGAAATGATATTTCTGAACAGACAGATCCCTGGAGTTCTTTTGTTCTGTAAAGAGAGCATGAGAGAGAGAGAGTAATACAGAGCCAGAGATGTATCTGTGAAAGCTGGAGTAGGGATGTGAGCGTTAACTACGCCGCCCTCGGACACCCCAGTGAGAGGTGAAAAACCTATGAGAATAAGGCTGAGGAGCAGAGAGTAAATGGTTTCCAGCTGTAACTGTGGCCTTTACTTAAGGGTTTAATGGGACTAGGTTGAATTCTTACTTAAACATTTGGAGACACTTTTAGATAAATTCTATTTATTTTTTTGTTTTATTCACAATACATGGGATCCTTTGTTCTGAAAGTTTGAATTTTCTAATATTATTCAAACTGAGATGCACAACTTATTGGAAACACATGATAATAACACAAAGATAAGCTGGAAGTTTACCCAGTATCATTTTATAGCTAAACCAGTGCTGTTATCCACTAAATCATAATCATAAAGAATGCAGTAGTGAGTGAGAGACTGATGCTGCTTTTACCACTGATATTATCTGGTGATTATTAAATGTAGAGCCAGATTTGTCCAAAAGTGAGCATATCTACAGTGTGTCCAGGGCAATAAAGCTATTTCCAGTGTACATGTAGTGCAAATGCTGCACTCTAGTGATGTGTGACTGGGCCATGATGAATAATTATACACTCACCATGGCTGACCAGTTAGCTGACATAGTCACAGTATTTATTTAGCTGTATAGACAATACGTAATGTATGGCAGATATTTATGACCTACCAGCTCACTGTGGTCTGCCGCCAGGTCATAGGTGTAGGAGTAGGGGAAGAGCAGCAGCTGTGAATAGGAATGAACGGTGATGTAGGACTTGATGATGGACTTGTTCCTGCGAATGAAGTCAGCAACATTCTTGACCTCGATCTCAGACTCAGGGGTTTGTCCACAGAATGTGTCACTGCAGGGGTTGCTGGAGGCTCCAACGGCTGAAATTCAAATTACAGTAAGCATTTTTTTTTTTCATTTTCAAATGTGAATATGCTTAAAAGTTCAGTTCACCAATTTTATACACAGTGTACAATTATTTTCCATGTAAAGTACTATACAGCCTGAGAAAACCATTGTTTAATGCTGCACAGATGGGAGTTTCCTGAAGTAACAGAAAATAACAGCTGATGATGTCATAGTAGTATTATCGGGGTTTTTGTGGTTTCCGATTGACACTGCAAATTTATAGCAGAAAGCATTACAAGGTTGAGGTGTGGGTGCTTACTAAGAGGGAAGGGTCTAGAGAAACATGCTTTCCTTTTGGGAAGTAAAGGATCCAAGGCTTTTGTGATGTGGTTCATACTATAAATCATAGATTTTGACCATGCTTTTTAACTGTTCTTTCACCAGTTACAAGATGTATAACTGCATACACATATGTTACACATACTACACCATCCAGCATTCCAGTTCCTGTTGGGATCAGTTCCAATGCAGCTGGATCCAGAGTTCCTGGAGCGAGTTTTCCTCCACATTCTGTTCTAAAGTTCCCAAGATAATAAAACACACATTTTTCATTAACATAAACAAATTTTATATCAAATGGTCTCTATTAGAGTAAACTTAGGCATAGCATTCTAACATACGGTCTTGTGAGTGTAGTCATAGCCATCAATGTTAAAGACGGGCAGAACAAAGACGTCCATCTGGTCGAGCAGGCTAGTCATCTGAGCATCAGTGCCGTATGTGGACAGGGCCTGAGGGCGATTGCAAAAAAAATATTCTGTGCTGTAATCAGTGGAAACGTCTGTTTAAATGCTTGCCATGTCTGTCCTGGTGTTCACCTTACCTCCATGACAAACCACTGGCAGAAAGCAGGAGAGATCCACTCTCTAGCATGAATACCACAGTCCATAAAGATAGCAGGCTTGGTGGAGCTGGACATCTTACCAAGCTGTGGTTTTTAAAGCATCATAACACATTTGTTAGATGTGCTATGACTTACAAACATGTCTAAAAATCCTTAAACATCTGAGACTGATATTCATATTTAGATACCAAGTAAGTCCTGAAATACCTTGAGGAGAGTCATAGGGCGTCCCTCATAGGTGCTTCCAATCACCTGCTTGCTGATTAAACCAGGATTGGAGGATGAGATGGAGGCAATCCATGACTGGATCTGAAATTAATAGGGGCAGGAAATGGGAAATAAGAACAGGAAATTGCAATCCAGTTGGGACTGGAAATTTACGACTCAAGATGTTTTTGTTTCGTACTTTGTCCCAGCTGTTGTACTTGGTGTAGCTGTGGGTTCTGGGAGAAGGCTTGTTGTCATTCTGGGCATCAACAGCAGTCTGTAGATTCACGATAAGGACCCTGAAGAGAAATTAATTTAAAAACCATTCAAACATCAGCCAAAAATGAAATGCTAGTGTTTTGGGGATGTTTAATAAGGTTTCTATTTCTTTTGTTTATATTTGGACCTTTGTCTTGTGACCTACTCATGCTCCATGTCATTCTGCTGCAGGATGGTGTACACCATATCAATGTACATGGCAGGCACACGGATATCCACCTCGCTGTTTACTTTCACCAGCTCAGGGCTCTCTGGCCTCCAGAAATCGACCTGCAGATGGCGCCAAAATCAAACACTTGAGCACACTGAAACGTGTGAAAACCAAATTCAACAGCCGTTCATTTGACAAGCTGAAATATATTGTTGAATGAATATGAGTTGTCAAGACACCAGCATGTATGTTTGATTTAAACAGTCATGAAAGGAGCATTTAGAAATCATTTACACATCTGAACAGGTGTTAGATAAACTCAGAACAGCTCCAAAAAGGAGGTCCAAATTTAGCCTTTACATCATTAACAAACCAGTGAAACCCCTGCAGTGCATGTATGTGTGAAAGCAGACAGGCACCTGGATGCTGTTAGCCAGCTCCTTAATGAGCATCACATGATCGTCAAGCGCAGGCTTCAGACGGAGGAGTTGATCTCTATTGACCACAAAATAGATTAAAAATAGACTGGCCACAGTTCTGATGGTCTCACACATTTTTGATGTGTTTCTACTGTATATATTTAAAATTATACCTCTGAACTTAAGTAAATGCCAGAATATGCTGAGCTGCGTCTGCATAAAGCTACAGCAGTTGTGCAGTGTTTTGAAGAATTTATGGCATGGTGAACATCTAGGCTGCTGCTGTGAGCCGTGTTACCAAGGGTAGTAGACCTAACCCGTCTTGCATTAGTCCATAGAGAAATACAAAATAGCTATTTTCCATTGCATACCGCAAATGTGAGCTTTACTGAAATAAATTCAATATTTCAAAAAAAAAAAAAAAAAGATTCAGAATTTACCCCTCAAAGCGTGCAATGTCAGCCAGGGCGACAGCCACCAATCCAAAAAGCAGGAGGACCTTCATGTTGGCAGTGAAGCTGATCTGGCCTGGGACAGCACTTATAAGCTTTGACTTGCTGCCCATCCACCAATCCCTGGATCATGTACTGAGCACCTGCCATTTTTGGGTGCTGTATGGAGGAGTGTGGGCCTACATGATGCAGCTATAGTCGATGATTAACATGAAGGTGCTTGTGGAAATATTCAGCCAAGGTCACTTGATTTTGATTCCTAGTAATTACTCAGATCAGCTGTTATTTCTGTATGATTTGTTAACTAATGACACATATTTGTGACAAATTTGTATGATTTGTAACAGGGTAATAAGAAAAAACTTAGGGCCATGCTTTTTTCATTTTATTCATATATTTACAAACTGTATATTTACAGAGTAGAAAAAAAATGTATCAGCATGTTTAAACACCACAGGTATAACCTTTTTTAAGCATTCGATTACTGGTGCACCTAATGACCTGCTGAGCACACAGAATATACTGGACAATATATTAAAGCACTGTATCTTGAAGCAAAAAGCCCTGAATAACTTCTTTTTTTTTTTTTTTTTTTTTTTGCTTAGTGACACTGACATTCATTTCACAGGCTTCGAGAGAAACGTTTGCTAGTGTGAATGTGACAAGCTATGTGTGGTGGTTTATAGTGAATTTTAGTATTGTATAAGGTAGTGAATATCTCTTTTACTCAGAGAAGAATATAAATACAACTTTTTTTTTTTTTTTTTTTTCCATAGTGACACTGACATTCATTTCACAGGCTTCGAGAGAAACGTTTGCTAGTGTGAATGTGACAAGCTATGTGTGGTGGTTTATAGTGAATTTTAGTATTGTATAAGGTAGTGAATATCTCTTTTACTCAGAGAAGAATATAAATACAACTTTACAGCCATTCTGCACAGTGTTTGGTAGCACAGTTGGGGTTTTAAAAGAATGTCTCCATCTCTTAACCACAGACCAAAGATCAGGACACATGAACTTCTACCCTCTTGCTTCTTTCTTCACTTCAGAAGTTGTACTTTTGGTTGTAAGACTCAGCATCTCTGAGGCACGAAAGGACAGGGTGCTCATCTTGGAGCTGATGCTTGGGTGAGGCCTAGTTGATTGACCCGGTGAGCAGTGCAACAGATGTAGTAAATTTTTGCGGAAGTTGTGTCCCACAAAACCATACACAATAGGGTTAACGCAGCTGCTGAAGTAAGCAATGCAGATGGTTAAGGGCATGGCAGTGTCAATAATTTCCAGGATGGCACAATTCTTCACCAGCATCAACTGGGTGAGCACCTGCATGAAGTGGAACACCTGATGGGGCACCCAGCACAAGAAGAAGGCCATGACAGCTGCTGCAAGCATGCACAGTACCTCGTCATCTCTGGAACGGGAGCTTTTCTGGATGTGTCTCGCTCCCAGCAGTGCTCTCCCGATGAGGCAGTAACAGGTGATGATGATGACGAAGGGCACCAGGAAGCCCAGCAAGCTTTTCAATAGGCTGATGGCCAGCAGAAGCTGTTTCAACCTGATGTCTACAGTTGTCTGGTGCAGAATACCACACACTGTAGTGTTGGAGTTTGTGATGTCGTGGACATCCCTGGTCAGTGCTGTGGGCACACTAAGCACAAAAGCAAAAAGCCAGATCACTACACACGTGACATGTGCATACACCACAGTGCGGAATCTGTGTGATCGCACTGGGTGCACAATAGCCAGATAACGGTCAATACTGAGTGCTGTGAGGAAGAAGATGCTGGTGTAGAGGTTAAAAATCACCAGCCCTGCACTGGCCTTGCACAGGAATGCTCCGAAGGGCCAGTCATAGCCTTTTGCTGTGAAGACTGCCCACATGGGCAGAGTAATGAGGAAAGTGAGGTCAGAAATGGCAAGATTGAGGACAAAAATGTTGGCCACCGTTTTGAGTTTCATGTAGCGGTAGATGACAGCCACCACCATACTGTTTCCCACAATGCCGATAACAAAGTTACAGCAGTAGACGATGGGCACCAAGGTGAAGATGAAATCATAGTTTCCAGACATGCCACATGTTAGGGTTATGCCTTTTGTCACTCCTGTTGTATTCTGCATTTTCCTCTTTTAGGGCCAGATCCTGGGTCTTTTTAACAGGGGGCCCCGTTGGTGCCTGATACAAGCCTGGACGAGGGCTTCCTATAAAAGAAATACAAAAATGTCAGAGGCAATCTAGGGTAAGAGCCATCATTACTGCTGGTAAGGCCCATAAACGCTAATCCACACGAACACTCATGAAAGTGCTCACCCTATACCAGCTCGTTAAAGACCTGCACATTAAAGCCATCCTGATGCTTTATGTTATTTCTATAAAATACAAAGCCATGAAAAACAGATGTTGTATGTTTTCAATATTCCAAAAATGCCCTTTGAAAGATCATTATTGAGCCAGTCTGCGTTCTGCCTTCTCCTTTAAATTGTCTCTCGGCTAATGAATGACAACAGTAAAAGTGTACAGTGTTTATCAAATGGCCTGTCCATCTGGGTGGACTGCCTGCACCCGGAAGGAAAACATTTATGCCTTATGTTACGACCTGTGTTAATGAAGACTACACGGCAATGTGCTAGCTTGGATAACAACGCCATTAAACACTGAGGTACTGAGGGAGCAAGGAGCAGAGAGAAAGATAGGGTTGAGGCTCAAGTCACTGTAAAAGACATGTCACGTTTCAAACCCTCGGTGTGCAGAGATGCATTGTACCCAGCATGAGAACTTCTAATCAGCACACACCTAAACAAACAGGACAGCAGGGATTCAGCTCTGTGGAAACTTTGCTCTGTGAGAAAATCAAACCTGCACGCTGTGGAAAATTTGCCTCGGGGCTCGTTTTTGGTTCATTTGTATGAGCAGAATGTGAAATGGGAATAAAAAACAAATTCTCCCCTTTGCTGAGTGTCTTTATATTTAATAGAGCAGCTTAGTGAGTGTGATTAGTGGGGTTGATGTAATAATATTAGCATAAACCTCATGCATACTATAACTATAGCTGCAAAAATAGTTTGTTATTAATTACATGAAAATGACAACATGTTTGTGGTTACATTGCAACCATACATTTGCCAAGGGGAAATATGCTCTGCATTTGAAGCTCAGAAGGGCCACTAATTTAAATTCAAATTCTACAAGCTGTTTGTTAACATAAAAAGTTTACTATTTTGTATAATACAGATATTATGTAGACAAGTACAGCATATACGCTGCCAGAATAGAAATGGAAAGCCTCTGATTACCAGTTTGACTAAACTGAGAAGGTGTCTTGCCACTAGATGGCGCTCTTTACATCTCACAGCTGATACAGTACACTGATATTATGTTGTAAAACTCCAGTTTAAATTTAGTTTTATTTCAGCTAGTCCAGATATATATTTATTTAGAAAACTGCAAAAATTGCCATTTGCTCTTGCAGAAATCCAGATGCTGCTGTTGCCGTTCCAGCTACTGTGGACTACTTATATATGCGTTCCTGTTGTCCTCTGGTTGGCACTGAGGAGGTCTGAGCCCCTCCAGTTGAACTACTTTATCTCTAAGTCAAAGATTCTTTGGGGGTAAAAAAAAAACCCTCTGTTCACTAAAGCAACAACTGTAACAGATGCAGATGTGGGGATTGTTGAGTATGGAAAATGGGTGCCAAAGGCAATAGAATAATGAAATATCTCTGAGTTTCCTGCACACACTGAAGTGTAGTAGGAAGTGTAAATCACCAGCACTGATGTCATTGCTTGGATTTATTGTGTTTTCTTTCTCTAATGACTGCAACAGTGTTTGGCTCTAAATTTGTGTCACGATTTGAAGATTTTAAACAGTTGGAATTCTCTTGATGCTACAAAGATTTCTGATGACCAAAAATAGAAATATGGGAGAAGATCAACACCTCATGCATTTTATGTACCATTACTGAAAGACATTTTTATTTTAACTGCCAGTATTTGTCCACGTGGAAATGCTCAAAGTGAGGGATGTGTGGTGAGTGAATATAAACAGGGTTAAAAGTTACTGCTGACTATAGGTGAACACCACAATAAAGGTGAGGTGGCACAAACAGAAAGTGACTTTGAGGCAAAAGATTTAGTGTTACTTTATCAAGTGAGCTGTAGCTTGCATGGCACCTTACTGAAAGACAGCCATAAACCATGGGTGACCACAGACAGGAAGGTAAACACCTACTTTACAAGGCCCAGGAGCAAGCTGCATCCTCTAGGACAAGACAATGGACTGTGAAGCCCCTGCACTGTTTCCTAACTTAAATCAGGATTGGGAGGAAGTTTAGCGACATTTTTGCTCCACACTGCAGGGACTGACTACTCAATGACACTGAAGTGCCAACATGCCATTTATAATCCTGGTTCAGGCTATTTAAATGTATCAAATGTGATACCAAACAAAATAAAAAATATTCTAAATAATATGGCACATTTATTCCTATATGCCTGGACGATCTGTCTATGCATAAATGGCAAATAAAAATCTTGAATCTTGGATTTTGAATCTTGAATTTTCTTTTGGATTTTGTTAAAAGGTTTAATAAACATCTGATGTCCGAAAAATTGGACTGTTCTGGCTAGTTTTTGATGTGTTGGGCTTTACAGGGTTAAAAAAGCTAAAGTAGAAATCACAGCCCAGGCTGGTCGGGTTTGGATAGAAACGTTCCCATCAACGGAGCTATCTGGGACATGAGCACCACCATCTGGCTACCCATATAGAGAGTCACTAAAATATCTGGTTGATTGAGGTAATGATTTACTTTACATTAGCCTGGTATGAAGAGTGGTTCATCTTAGCCTCCTGCCTCATGATTGTCCTCTTAAGCCTCCTTTCAACCCTGTTCAGTCTGATCTGTAATAATGGCTGCTTCCTGCTGTACTAAACTCGAAATAATGTACTCAAAATAATAATAATAATAATAATGTACTTCTTAATCCACTACATTTATATGATAACTTTAATTAACAAAACAAACTACAGTATTTATTGATCCCTGGTGGAAATTCACAAGCTACCTGCTTTTACTTGTAACAGAGTATTTTTACACTGTGGTATCACTACTTTTAATTGAGTAAAGAATCCGAGTACTTTGTCCACAACTGATCAATGTTACATAATATACAAATGTAAAACCCATCTCCTCACCAACAACAACCACTCTTAAAACTGTATTACAGCTTAATTTGTCACTATTATTCCTTGTACACTAATAGTACGGCTGCCTGAAAGTGCGGTGCCCCTTAACTGTAGCCCCTGACAATTCACTTCCTCCTCTTTCTCTGTTTACAGGGTGTCACTTCAGCTTAAGAGGTTTTGAAGTAGGAAGCTAGAGCATGAGCAACCTCACTGAGTGTTTAAATGTTGCCTGTAGTAGGTCAAGGTCAAAAACAGCCAAAGAACTTTATTGTCATTCCAGTGCACATCCACATGCCGGAGTGAAATTAAATACTCCAGGTCCCAGTAATCAAACAAGGAGCCCTGATAATCCCCTTTTGCTCCACTAATCCATAAAAGAACTATTAGAAGAAATACATATTTATTAAGTTTCATATATTAAAATAATAGCTAAAACAATCTAACAACCTGAGAAAGAGAGGAAATACAACCTGCCCTGTAATTAGCAGCGGCAAGGAGGTAGCAGAAAATGACTAGTGCTGAGTGTAACGAGTCACCCGGAGTGTGCAGTAAGGCACAGTCGTGTTTTATTCATTAGTCTTATGATGTTAGGGTAGAAGCTTTTCCCCAGACTGGTGGCGCTAGCCAGACAGGATGGGTGCCATGCAGTGAAACACTACATGTTGAAAATATGTGCAGTATTTACATGTACTGTGTGTTCAAAAGGAGAAAGAAGAAAATATTTTTGATGAAGCAAGTTTGTGTGTGCATGTGCCTCATGTTGATTGCATTGTGGGGACTGACACCCGTTTAAATTTGCTGTGGTGAGATTTGCCTTCCTTGTGGGACCACGTGCACATATTATCATTGAATTTTAGGGTGATGGCTTGGTTTAAGGTGAAGGTGAGGGCTGGAGTCAGGCAAGTAGTCAGGATTAGGGTAAAATATAGAGGTTCCATGAGGAATGGAAATGTGCCTTTGTATTTCTTACATTATGGGGACTGAAGCCTGTTAACACACTGACATTGTGGGGACTCTGACTTTTAGGGTGGCAACATGGTTTAAGGTTAGGGTTTGGTTAATGCTAAGGTCATGAATAGGTATTAGGCAAGTAGTGGTTATGGTTAATATTAGGATACGTCTAGAGAGGAGGAAATGGAAACATTGGCTTCAGAAGCCATGTCTGCAGTCTTCTGTTTATGAAACTGTACTTGTGACACAGTTTAACACTATACATCTTGCTTGTGAAGCTTTCCCTTCATGTCCTGCACTGTATTTTAGGAAATATGCCATGGCACCTTGACTTACAATAGCATAACAGATTATAATCCTTTTCTCTCTTTCCTAAATTGTCATCAAGAAAATTTGCTAGGACATTATTTCACTAGTAGAACCTGAGATTACTTACTCAGGTGAGGAGCAGGTAAGGAGCTCAAACATGAAGCGTTAGGTAGAAAAGAATCGTCTATATAAGTGGAACCTAAACCCAGCTCTTGAGTATGGTCTCTGCAGTGGGGTTTTTTCCATTTTTTCCTATATATGTTCATTCTCCAGCATCCCACTGTTTCTCAATTCTCCAGTAGTTAGACTTGTCCCTCACACTAACAAGTCTGAAAATTGCCTGCTCTTTTCTTCAGTTAGCCGCCCTGCTTTCTTTACCTTCTTTCCTTTTTCGTGCCTATTGTGGGGATTAAATTCTTCATATGTAATGTTTTTCCATATCTACTCTTTATCAGGAAATCAATCTAATTCTCTGTAGTTATATGAGTTCTGGCATGTAGACTTTACTATAGATACCATCCATCATTCTCTTTGCACTGTTTGCATATTTCCGTGCAGGAGTTTCCTCACCCCTACTTGCCTACTTCCACAATAAGCTACAGCGCTGTAGTATAGCTACAGTACAGTTTTAAAGGCTCTGTACACACAGGATTTTCACATGAACAACTTGAACAAACAGCAACAACAGGTGGCACCAATCAAGTTGGTAAATACATCTAACATGCCATTTTATTCTTTGCATTAATTTGCCACGTGTGGGTTCCCATGGTAATATGAGTATTTGGAGAAAGCCTTTTTTGTGTCGGCATTGGAACACTATGTCTAAAAGCAGCCAGAAGAACATAACATTTGTTAGATCAGTCAAAGAGTCTGTTGTAAAATGATATTTTAAAGACTACCAACATTTTAGTTAAGTTTGTAAAACACATCTTCCTGACAATGAGGTAATGGTAGCTCTTACCTTGGGTGCTGAACCACGAGGGTGTTGATGCTTTCAGAGCAGCATAGACAGAGACATAGAGAGACCTCTGCAGTGTGCCAGGGACTGCCTCTGATTTAACTTAACTGGTGAAATGAAATGAGCAGGAACACCATCTGACGCACAAACACACTCACACTCACACACACACACGTACACAACAATAATGAATGAGTTCAAATGGATCCAGTCAGCTATGTATCTCCCTGACCAACGGTCTACGAACACAAACACACACAAGATCTTACACAATAGCACTTCTCCTCTGCCTCCTCCTCCCATCTCTCTCCTCCTCCTACCCCTACTCCCCAAGGACCATCTTTCCTCTGTCTCTCTTAATATCTGCTTTTACTCACCCACTTCCTCCTTCATATAAACATTCATTACTGCTTTTGACAGACCACACATTGATTAAAGCAACAAATCTAGACCTCCTGCATAATCGTTTGAGGGTATTCAATTCAGCACTACAGTTTAATTACTCAGACAAACACACATTGACAACAGCACTTTAGCTAAACATACTTTAATATCTCTCCCTCCTCTATTTTTGCACTTGTATCATAGTTCATCCCTCGACAGGCTCCTGTCCCTTGTACTTGGCACAACATTAAAGGAATGGCCAGGCTGTGACTGGGACTGGACCTCTCAACACTCGGCCACAAGTTCACCTTTGACTTGGATCACATTAGTGTATCAGGGCCTGGAAAAAGGGAGAAATTGGTGGGGTGGAGCCAGAGAGTTTTGTCACTGGCTTTTCACTAAAGTTACAAAATGGCTACTTGACTGTGTCAAGTTCCATCTCCTGCACGCTCTACCCGGTCTCCGCAACTCTGGACACAGTCCGGATCTGATTCCACAAGGTGTTTGACAGGTATGGGAAGTCACATCATATCTGTCATGGAGATTGATAGTGACGGCTCATTCACTTTTCTACATAGCAAATATGAACTGACATTCCAGTAAATACCAGACAAGCACAGAACAAAACAAAAACAACATGTTCCAACAGTAAATCTTCAAGGAGGGAACAGTGTCTATACTATTCATATCCCCGTAGGAAAAAAAAAAGTTTTTTGGATCCAGATATACACTGCAAACATCTGGCATTTGTCTGTTTATAAAGCAGTTGATATCTAGGACCAAGAGCGAAACATTTTTTTAATTTGCAGAAAGACCATTGGGCTGTTTTCCTTGTTAGACCATAGGGATCTGAGGTTTTAAGTGATGCAATGACATCTCCAAAAGTCCCTCAGTTTCAGGGTCTGAAGTCTTAAAGGTGAAGAAAGCACTCACCTGGGTTAAAGACAAAAAAGGAAAACAAAGCAAAAACACTTTGGACCAATTGGACATCCTCTTTGGTCACGTTTACTGAGCTATCTTCGGCTCAAAGCATCCTCAAGAACACATAGGGTCAGAAGGCAACGGGTCCAAAGATCTGGAATACATGGCTCTTCAGTCCTGTCGTTTTTCAGGAAGGGCAGGTTGAGGAGGGTAAGTAGTAACTCACTTTACACAGCAACAGAGCCATTTACAACTCCAGGAGATTATGGTCAGGATCCATTATGTGAAAGATAAGAATAATCCATTAGGAGGATGTTTTCTTATTGCGGATGTATGGTATAAAATCATTTGCACGGTCTCGGCCTTACTGCCATAAGAACAATCGACAATCTATATCTGACCCATGGGACCTCTCAAGATGTGAGAAGAAAGTTGCGTACCAATGAATCCCCAACTGTATATTCCACAAAACAAATAGTTCTCAATCAAGGATGTTGCTGCAACACCCCACACAACAGTGATTTACACTCCTTGAGTGCAAGCGGAAAGAGACGTTGTTGATCTAGAAGTCGAAATGTGTGGGGATGAGATTAGGTGGGAAATTAAATTTCCTATGACACTGCACATTTTCAGAATGGATGTTGTCAATAATTCACTCTTAAAAATACACAGATGTTATTTCAAAATAATGTCAAACTTTCTGTTGTGCAACATTTAGGAATCTGATGCAACAATAGTAAAATCCCAGGAATAGCCTATGTTCATTTATCATCAAGTGGGTAATATATCATTTCTGGTTGAGTAAGGCCAAAAAAGAGGATCAGGCTTCATCTCAACTCCTCATACCCAAGAGGTGTGACAGTGGGCAATGTTCTTGCTAATCAAATCACTCTAACAAGATTAGTCGTATTAGCACTTAAGCTGTAGTAGAATGAATTGATGCCTGAGGTAATTACTGGTAGCACAGAGCACTGCGGGGAAGGATGGGCCTTTTGTGGCAGAACAACACGGCCACTAAAATGCCAAACAACACACAGCCACCTGCTGAAGAAAGACAATACTCTGTGAGGTGTGAAGGCTCAAAATGGAAACTGCTGCCCAGTATTGAGTAGCTGAGTCATTGCTTATACCTGTACAAATATATTTTGCATGTTTACAGGTTAGTGCTGCATGGTTTCCATTAAAGCCCCACACGTGAATTGATTGCCTTTCTAATTAGTAACAAATAATCAGATTTCATTGAAATACACCTATCAAGACCATGCAGTGCATATTTTGCTCATTAGTTTCTATTAAAACAGTTCAGCTTTGCACACATTTCCAGTGTTTTGTTTTTTTTACACAAACATGTTTTTTGTTTTGTTTTGTGTTTCATGTTCGTGCCTGCCCCGATACTGCCCTGTTACTTCATCACATTTCCTGTTTACATTAAATACATTTCAATGAATCATAGCAGGAAAGGGACAGATGGAACTAGGAACAATAACAGTGGTTCTATTCCAGAAATCATTGCAGTGATATGCAGCAATGGATCTCCAAATCAATCCCCTCTGCACCTCCCAGCACTCCCTCTCCATGCTCCACTACACTCTTGCAAGATCTGCCGCGCTCTGCCCAGTTTTACAGATATTTTTCATTATAAAATTACAAGCAATGATAATGCAACAAAACATACTGATCAAGCAGAAATAATTTAAAATCTCTAATTGGTTAGAGAGGTCAAACCCGCTGAAGGTTTTTGATAGATCCACAAGGATTTATCTCTCAGGAAAAAATGCATTTAATTCTGACTCTAAAGTAATGACAAAAGAGACGCACACTAGCTAAGAAATTAAGTTGGTACAAGGGGGCAAAATGTTGTGAAGCCTGTTTTTGTGACATAAGGCACTATGTTTTAATTGTGGTTCCACCCTCGCTCTAACCATGGCACTAATGTGAAGCAGCAATGCTAACTCTGCTCTAAAATGCCACCAACACTTACTGGTTAACTGCTTCTGCCAAATGAATTCATGGCATAATAATTGTTTTGTTTGCTTGTTTTTGCAGTTTCAAGCCCATTGAATAAATTTAGCGGATGCCATTTCCCTTGTTGGCCATAAACCTGAGCTTTAACCCTGACATGGACTTTCCTGTACCTGCGGCACAAGTTTGGTTCTGTTGAGACTGATCCTCTGTTTCATGGAAGCTTGCTTTTTTTCCTGATCATATTCTTGTACGTTTTTACACCTTATTCTGACATATGGTCATGTGGTCAACAGATTTCCTTAAGAAATGCTTGCATGCCCTGCTACTCTTCTTTCTCTGCTCTGCTGTTGCTGTGCTGCTTATCTGCAAATTTGCCTTGAAACTGCACCACAAATCATTCGTTGTTGTCCACATGTAGATAGAGTCTAAGTTCTGAGTGAGGATAAAAATGTACCAATCACTGCTCCCCATTCCCAGGCATGTTGAACTTGTTTAATACTTGTGGGGATTGAGGAGGTCAGAGTCTAGTTGCCAAATATTAACTATATATTATTCCGCTGGCCTAGGAACTGCCCATTTCTGCCATTTTAATGCTGCAACACTGTATATGCAATATAAATTAGCTTTTGGGGGGCAATTAGACAAATAAAACACTTGAATGCTTTCAAATCAAGAACATATATCATCCACATGAATAAAATATGCTGACATATAAATGTTAATTAAGACATTAGCTTACTTAGCAACCTAGTTAACATAAATAGTTATGTTTATAATAGTGCAGTGATTATATTGTTAAAGTAATTAGGACACATGCATCTTGTGTTAATGACTGATGTTCATCAGAGAAGCCTAATGCTTCAGTCAATACAAATAATGTTACAGGAAGGCTAGAATCAATTAAGGCACAGAACACTTTTATAACATCGATTTTATCTAATAGCCACTCAAAGCTCACATGCTTTGTACCAACATAATGAACATCCATCTTTATCAAACTCATTTCTGGGATCCTGATAGTCCTAAACATAAAACACTACATAAATCACCCTCCGATAGCCCGCAAGGGACCTGTCCAATGTGACTTTAACAAGCTTTTTATTTTCTCAGTGTGCTGTGTAGTTGTCAAGGACAGCTCTAGCACCATCACTCTGGTGCAGTCAAGGCTCAGAAAATATTTACCGCATCTTCTCATAGTGAATGGACCTGCCTTGTTAGCGCTATTACCTGCAGGAGTTTGACTCAAAAACTGTCCTTGAGCGTGAGGATGAGAAAGACGCGGACAAAGTAATCGAACATAAAATGAAGGTTGTAACACCAGCCATGTGTTTTTCCTTTTTTTTTTTTTGTTGGTACTGTAAGGAGTCAGGAATATGAACCTGTAAATACACTGGCCTTGGATTGACCTTTGCCCCTGAGTTTCAGTTCCTGCTTAACATCTCGGAAATCACTGACCCAGAGCCACTCTCCTCTGGATCAGAACAGAAGAACAGATACGTCAAAGACAACAAATCTTTACACAAACAGGAAATGTCTACGACATTGCGGGTGAAAGTTGTGGGAAGGCCTGTAATGGGCCTCTGAGAGTCGCAGTGCTTAGGCCAGGGCCCCTGAAGGCTGCAATTTTACAACTGCGCACACGGAGGGATGGGAAAATACTGGAGGACCTTATGAGGGTGGCTTGCTAGTACTCCATTAGTGTAACCTCTCCCATGAATATTTTAAGCTCTTCGTTAGATTTATGGAGGATAAAAAAAAAGTACTTTCTTCCAGTCCTGTGACGTTTATCAGCTGGATGATAGTTGATTCTAGCAAAACAATGAGCTGCCATGCAGACGTCTTTTACTTCCTCAAGGTATTATGTTTGGCTGCAGGAGCATTATAGACTACGATAATGGAGGAAGAGGTAATGCTGCCTTCAAGCAAGGAAGTTACTATATTGCTCTAAAGGTTTGATTCTGTTTAGTAAAGCAGTTTGTCATTACATTCAGA